TCACTGTGCATAGGATGACCCCGCCTCCCTGGCCAGTTGTCACAGTGCTGAGGCTGAGAGCTGCTCTAGGCCCTGGGCCTCAGGTGGTATGTGGGTCAGCAGGGTGGCCGCCACTGCGTCGCAGACCCCACCCGACCCCTGCTTCAGGACCTCTGGGGTAGTGGAGCCCAGGCTGGGTTTATCAAGGCTCAGGGATACTCTGGTCTGGAGCACACTGCCTTGTAGGATGAAGCCACTTGTCCCTGAGGCTTCAGCGCAGGGCAGTGTTGATTCTAGCGTGGGAAGCAGCACGGGGTGGGGAAGCCCACAGCTTGGCGTGGGTTACAGCAGCCGTCTGGGTAAGTCGTGAACCCGCACCTGCCCTCTGCTCTGTTCCAGGCACGGGTGTGACCGTCAACGCTCTGCACCCTGGCGTGGCCAGGACGGAGCTGGGCAGACACACAGGCATGCACAGCTCCGCCTTCTCCAGCTTCACGCTCGGTGAGTCCCAGCGCGGGTCCCTCTCCCAGCCCTTGCCTGAGCTGCTTGCCTGGGGCCTGGGGCTGTCCCTCTGAGCCGGTTGCTGGCTTTGCTTCTTTCTGCCCCCTCCTCTGTGCCTTTGCTGGAGGAGAAGTCACTATCCTGCTGATGTGGCCTGACAGCCTGAGGACAGCGCAGGGGGCAGCCAGAGCCCCACGGCCAGTGGAGGGGCTGGCGCCAGCGTCAGGCTGCATGTGGCTGGCTCTGGCTTTGCCCCAGACTAGTTGAGCCGCCCGAGGGAAGTGTCTTCCCGCTTGTGCTTCCTTCTGTTTCCTCGTCTGCACCATGAAGCCTATCGTGTGATCCAGCTGAGTTGCTGGGAGGGTCAGATGAGACCACCCAAAGCAGACCCGCACAGCGCCTGGCCCAGAGTAGGCTGAAGGAGTAACTGGGACTCAGAGCTAGTGTCTATGGCCCTGAGAAACATCTCATGAGTGTATGCTAGCTGTCAAGAGTAATAAGCTGGCAGCAAAACTTTATCTTAAGGAAAGATGGGGTAGGCGAGGGCTTAGCCTGACCAAGAGGAGTCAGGGCTTTCGTCTTGTGGGGGAAGGTGAAGGAGGCTTCCTGGGAGAGGTGGCCTTTGCTCTGGTCCCTGCGTGTGATGGCCTCCCCGGGGTGGGGCTGGGCTCTGTGTCCTCCGGAGTGTGGACTGAAGGTGCTGTGGGTTACTGCAGGGCCCATCTTTTGGCTGATGGTCAAGAGCCCCCAGCTGGCGGCCCAGCCCAGCACCTACCTGGCCGTGGCAGAGGAGCTGGAGGGTGTTTCTGGAAAGTACTTTGATGCACTCAAGGAGAAGGCTCTGGCCCCTGAGGCTGAAGATGAGGAAGTAGCCCAGAGGCTTTGGGCTGAAAGTGCTCGCCTTGTGGGCTTGGACGTGTCCCACGAGCCCCCCGTGAGGGGACAGTCCCGCCCCAGATAACCTCAGCAGCAGGTTTGAAAAGTCAGCTTGTTCTCCAGAGTAGAGCGGCAAGCTCAAGGATGCTGGCAGCTAGCCCAGCCTGTATCACCCTCCAGAGAACAGGGTGGACCCTATGAGCCCGAGACGGATGTGGCAGCTACTCCTTCACTGTCCTCCAGGGGGCAGTGTTGGCAACATGTGACGTTAAAGATAAACGGGGGAGGCTGCTCTGCTGTTGCCATCCTATAGGGCCAGCGTTGGCCTCAAGAACAAAGGCTCTAGATGCCAATCTTTTGGCATCCTCTGGGGAGATGTATTGGCACCTGGGAACTTCATGGGCACTTGCTGTGCCCTCACTGTTCTCTAGTGCCTGTGATGGCCCCATCTCTGGTAGCTGTGCACCGTGGACTGGAC